TGTATATAATAAAATAAACTTTGATTATTATACAAACTTCAAGCAGAATAAAAGTGGTTCATACTCGTTCAAAAAAGGTTGCAAATGTAAGATAGTCCTGTTGTGCAAGAGCCCGGGTATGCTCAATTTGCCGACTATACTTGATACCTAGGGTTGGGTGCCGATTCAGGAATACGTGATGCCAATTCGATCCAATTGACCTTCCTGTCTGTGCATTCCGCTTGCTATGCAAGTACATTGCCATTTCCTTCAAAAGCGGTATACATGGAGGAAAGCAGTAATCATGCATTTCCAGACACCTATATAACCTTAAGTCAATAAATAAACTCCTATGTACACTGCCACATAATATATGATATACCAATTAACTAAGGCATCTTCCTCGCCTTGGTTTAAATACTGCTTTCTCTCATCAAACTCACTAACTGGTCTTCGGCCATGGTCTCGATGCCAGATTGTTCCTTTAGGAACCTCGTAGTCATTCGCTAGCTGCTGGTAGGTAGGTATGGCTGTATTTTCGCTTCGTGCATGGTCCAATTCATTTATTGCAAGTTCAATTCAATCTTCAGCTGTAAATGTTCGTTTGTTGGTCGTCATTGAATTTGTAGAAATCGTAGAATTTGTAGTTTCACGAAACAGATTATTGCCGACCAACTAGATTTCCTTCACCTATATATGTGGGACTTTTACATGACGATTGTTGTCATAGATTGTTGCACTAGTTAGAAAACCTGTTTTTTGTTGCCACTCAAGGTCACTTGTTTCGTGTCACCGTGCGTTTCGGCTCACCGTGGAGTACGTTATGGTCCTCGGGAACAATTGTCGGAGCGGAGGGCTCGCCAAGCATATTCTATGATACCCTTATCCAGGAAACCCTTTGCAGCGACTTGCCAAACCAGATGATTCAGGTTTTAGAAGGGGATAATCTTTGAAACCAGTAGCCCGGATGTAGTAACCGCTATAGTGTTAGGCCGGATTCTGACCCTGATGGTGTGATACCTGGATACAGTGACTGCAACGTTTCCGGTGCAGAGAGCTTCTACGAGTGGACTTCTAGACTAACATTACACGCTTAGGTAATCATGAATCTATCTCACCGGAAACAGCCCGCCCCGCACAGCTAATCCCACATTTGACTCGCATTCAAATTAATCCTTTCTCCCTCATCCCATCCCTTCCTCTCCAACCACTCGTCCCACCACCCAGGACACATCCCGTCCTAGCAGCAGCCGTGGGTACAGAGTAGCACGCCCGTCTTACCTCTCCGGCCCCGCGACGATAAGCGCTGCGCAACCCAACGCAACACTAACCAATGGGACACAGTTCACCTCAGAATCATCCTCACAAGGCTCCAGTGTATACCCGGACAAGAAAATGTTGAGCATAACCGCCTGTGTTGTGCTCCCGGACAGCGGGCACACGAACCTACGATATCCCGGGGCGACTCTAGCAACGAGGAGAAATCCACGGAGCACTTCCTCCGTGACCGTGACCGTGACCGATTGTGCCACCCACCAATGGTCACCCAACATAGAGTAGCAGGAAGATAGCCTCCGGGGGTGACTGGAAATAGGAACCTACGCCTGGTAGCCGGGGGGTAAGTAGTGGTGCTCATACATGTCCACCCTATGGCGCGGGTCGGAAAAATAGCAAATGGGTAGCTAGTGTAGGAGGGTCTTCCGCGTCAGCGGTGGGAGCAAGTTGGGTATCACCTGTGGTCTCGGGACTGAGGCAACCCTGTAGACCGGTATGTCTGCCTCAGCTCTCATTGCGCCCGCGTCATGAATGCCTGTAATGCGATGAAAGCACTGCTTGTTGGAGCAGTGATGGTGGGAAATGAGGATGGGGAGTTCGGGGGGAAGGTTTCAAAGCCGAGGGGCGATTCCTGGTGAACTTTATGTAAGGCTTGAATGTGCGCAGGCGGAGCATGGTGGTGTAGGAGATTGGTGGCGGTTGTGGTGGGGTTCTACCATAGTACTCATGTGGCCGAGTGCTAAGTAAATCAGGTGATCCTCTATTCAGGTTGGTCGGCAGTGTCTTGGAATTTTTCCAATGATGCGACCAGGAGAGGAGTAAGATACGAGATCAACCAAGCACCAGTCCAACAAAATCGCGAGCATGAATGCCAATAAAAATCTTTCTTCTGAACATTCTGTATACTTTTATTGTATTGTGTGGTTGAAAAGATATCTTTCTTATTCCACCGTGAATACCTGAGAGATTGTTGACCCATTCAAATAGAGGATCACGTGATTTACTTAGCACTCGGCCGCATGAGTACTGTGCCTCCGCACCTAACAGTCTAAAAACCTCTCTAGCTTCTGCCTTTCGGCTTCATACTTTTCCCCGGCCATCGATCACGACCAGAATGGCACCAGAGACAATCTCCCGAGTTTGTCTTATCTTGTCTTATCTCTCTCGTAAGGTTGCCCGTAGTATTCTGCATGTTTGTGGTAAATTCCTGTTTCAGTTCGATCGTAGCATGTTCGATCTTCTTGTTAAGCCCCGCATGGCTTGCGCGAAGGTCAGCCCGAAGCGGGTGCCGAATGATAAGATCCGTTGCGAATAAGAACGCGCTAGTGATTACCGTGGTGGCAGGTCCGCTCAACTCGCAAACAAAGTTCCTGATAAAACCTACTGATTAGCTAGTGATCAAAGGAGGATTAGATGGGGTACAGACTCAGGGAGAGAACCGTCTTAACTGTTCTTGTCAGTGTTGCGGAAAACCTAGGTGTTGGAGGAAATGCTTCGCAAGTTTGTACTCGTACAGCTTACCTTCTTTAAATACCGAATACCAGTGATGCGTAACACATGTTATATTGTATACAAGTAACCGGGTAACCTGCCCCTGCCATGCCAACACCACAATATTGTCGACAAGCTCGCCGAGCGAGAAGCTCCGACTGTACCGTACGAGTAGATTTTCCGCTATTCATCATAGGTCCATTTTCTTAAATATAGGGGTACATGTGCAAGTACCAGGCAAAAGGCTAATGAACAGTGAATTTAAGTTAACCCACAAAATAATCCCTGCCATATGACTTGCGGTTAGTTAGCCGCGAATTTAAGAAATTAACCTGTCGTGTTCTAGAGAAAATCTTGCTTGGCACGGGTACCTGCTCGTAAGTTAATGAACAGTTAATTCAGGTTACCTACCAAAATAATCCAAGTCTTGTACGAAAGCATCATCCCGGGCACTTGTATACAGACCTCCACAAACATGCAGGAGTGTACTCGAGTACAGTGTGTCCCCAAGGGTGAAGCCTCTTTAGCATACCGGTAACGGTTTTGTGGTGTAGTTAAACAATAATCAGGCTTACCACGATAACCTTACAACACCTTAAGTTCTGTCACGACGGAAGTGATTTTCGGCACCCGGCCTGTAAACATGACCGACGCTATACCCGCTCCTTGCCCATCGCTCCCCCGCCCTAGCCGTCGGCGATAGTTACAATCACAGACTCGGACCCAGTTTGCATCATGTCACCATACAGCCCCTTATCAATTCTGGATAAATAATTTACAGCCTAGCATCATCAAGCTGAAAGCTTCTCCTCTGATCTGTAGGTGATCGCATTGTAGCACCAAAGGCCTTGTTGATAACGTATCAATATTTCACTTTTTTGATTGGCCTCTAACGATTTTCAATTGCAATTCCGGACTCTCTATCACCCGAATTTTGTGGGGGGGAACAAGTATCCGCCCCGTACAGCATATCATAGTGACGGCAAGGGAAACTAATCGGAATCAGTTTCACAGGTAGCTAGGTAGCCAGGCAACCAAAATTGCTGACTTAGCAATCCGGCACCCGAAAGAACGCCCAAAAGCAGGCTCTTGGACGCCGTATCCCGCCTTAATCCCCATTCGAGACCCGAGACCGTCCGGAATAAAATCACAAATGGCCCTAAATTGGGAAGCAAAGGTCTATATCGTGAAAACCCTCGACACACCCAAGCCCTCACCATCGCCCCGAGGGGATAGCAACTGCCATTAACCTCGTGGGCCAGATATGAGCCCTCTCGAACCGGGGAGAAGCAGCGGGAGATAGCAATAAAATACTCGGCATGCACAATTGGCATTGCTGTAAGCAAACCGCCGATCAGATCATTGCACGTGCTATGCTGCTTAAGTCACCAAGCTACATTATTGTGTGGTTCCCGGTAGGTTCATGTGTCCCCCCCCCACAAGGGTGCATTGGGATCTGCGAGTACTGGGAGGTGGGCAAAATGAAAAATGAAAAACGCCCCTCTGCCCCCTTTCTCTCTGCTATGGTCTTAGAGACAAGGTACTGACACGACAGTAGGAAGGAATCCTTGGGCATGATAGATGAGTTCGACGCACCCCCCCCCCCCCGGTCATTTATAGCCTTGTAGAGTGTTCGCGGGATTCTTTTATACATTCATGAAGCACCATGGTCCTTGTGAAGGTCTTAGTGTCAACTGCGTACGATGACGGTGAATTCATTGAAATTCATTTGGGCAAGTACCATGGATACCATGCTGCGCATGATGAACAATCGGATTTAGTTGCCGAATCATTGCAATCGATATTCGTAGATCGGGGACCATTGCCGGTGTTGTATCGTCCTGCTATGACACTCAGCTTAGCACCAATCTACAGCAGAGGGATTTGTATAAATACCTCGGTAAATCCCCATGAATTATTATCATATCAACTGCGATTCGAACATACCTGCTATTCTATTATCAATATTCAGATATCAGAATGACCATACTTCACACCACAGAAGACGATATCCCTCCCTTTATGGCAAGGTTCCCATAGTGGCTAGTGAAGCCCCCCCTCGCTCCATGAGCTCCTCCCACATGCGGTAGTATCCCCATGCTAACCACCAACTCCAACCAGGCGATTGCGCCAGGATTGGCCTCGCAACAGCCAAGATCCTCACCCCAGAGGGTGCAACAGCAATTATGGTGGATTTGGCCTCACCCGTAGAAACCGTAGAGAACGCAGCCGGGTGAAGCTTGACGTATCCTCGCTGGACCCGCCCAAGGGCCCCCTTCAAAGCCGCCGGCCGGGCCGACATTCGTAGTAGCCAACACCGGGATCCTCGGAGACCCAAACTGGATCGACGACAGGCTAGACGAGACGGGAGATTTGGCGAAGCCGAGCATGTCGGTGATCGATTTTGATATTGTCGGCGTGGGCATTTGCGTCTAGCTGGCTATCAGTTACATGCGTAGACAAAGTTCTGGGGGAAGGATCGCTCTCGTTGCTAGTGAAATCGTGTACGAGCCTGGAATGAAGGTGGCGCTCTATTCTTCTTCGAAGTTTGCAGCGCTTTGAATCTTCTTTTTCTTCTCCGTCTCCTCTAGCTCCTTGGCTGCAGGTGTATGCAGAGTTGATTGGATGGTACAGGCTATGGGAATGTTGAGGAGCCTAGGGCAATCTCTCATCAACGCAGATATCACCATCACGCTGTCTCTCCAGGTGTCATGTCCACTCAACTTGTCAATTCCTTCAAGCCAACTTTCGCAAGAACGTGCCCATGGGTACTCCCCACGAGGTCGGTCTCGCCATCGTGTGCTCTGCTGGTGCCAGGGAGAAATCACGTACCCCAATTCCCGGAACATTCCCCGAGGATGTGGTGAGCGAGCAACCCAGACGCTGGAACCGGAGGATGGTTCATGCCTGGAAGGGAACGCTCACGGAGACGGAAGAGCCATTTTTGACGCTGAACAATATGTGGGTTGGAGAGAAGGCACTTCGGGAGATGAAGACTCAGGAACTAATATTCCATGGGTCATTCATCCCCGCACGGCTCTGAAGGGGTGGTATTGGGATGATGGATGATTTGACATCTGCCTACAGCGATGAGTGATTTCTGATGATAGGTGTCATCCTATTAGTTGGTTGGGTAGCAAATGAAATCAAAGACACCATTTGAAAACAATGTGATAGGTGCCTTCTTACCTTAAATCGATTTGCTCCCACCAACTCCGAAACCCTCTGGTTGTTGAGGTTTCACCCGGAAGGATGAGACGAGACCAGAGTGATGGACGGCCATTTCCTTCCCCCACAAACATACACCCAGCACTCCAGAACAGCCAAATTCCTCGAGTGACTACTTATGATTCGCCCCCCCTTACTTTATCCCAAAAGCACACCCAGGTCCCAGCGCATCAAGGCAGAATCCGTCCAAGAACCAGGAGCCATTTCGTAAAACAGCCAGTGCGGTAATCCCCCCCTCCTCCGCCCATACAAAAAGCTCAAGCCCTCCCAATCCAATCCCACCACATTACAAAAGCCCACCACCCATTCGCCAATACCTTTCCACACCGACCCCCATCCAAGTCAGACTCTCAGAACGGCTCTAGGACCAGAATTTTACTCCAACCAATCCGCTGATCGATTCCTCAATCATCTCCTATCCTTCATCACCTCACACGAAGTTCGATCCTGCCAGGCCACTCATGAGAACTATATCATACTTCCACCCACCCACCCACCTACCCACCAACCTTCCTTCACCGGCAAGACAGTAGTAAATATCATAACCTACAACCATAAACTAACTTGCTCCCCCCCCCTAAAAAAAAACGACCAACACTCCTATTCTCTAAGTAAGGTTATCCCCCTCCGAGATGACGCTCCAATCAAATCTCTCCACAGAGCGCAAACTTCTCATTGGAGAAGGCATCGTACCTGTCATCCATGAAAGTAGGTAAAACCCCTGGCGCCGCACCACACTCACGGTATACTATTCGCTCACACTCGCTGATCCCGAGGCTAGCTAGTTATCATAGCATAACTCCTTTTTTCCATCTCGCCCATTCACCCACCCATCAAAGGAGTTCCGTGAGCCCACCCAGCCCCCAAGCTCAGTGATGAGCTATGTACCTGCCGTAATTTGGCGGCCCCGAACAAACATCCCCAATAAGAAACAATCAATCCCTCGATCATACCATATCGTCCTCATATTCACAAGGTACCTGTCCCCAGCCCCGCCCCAATACCAGCACAAACTCAACAGAGGGCACCTCCAAAACCATTCGCTGATAAACAACCCCAACCCCCTCATGGGTATTCGTGTCCTGCCACACTCCCACTATACCTTCCACCCTCCCGGATATTTACCCAGCCGTTGAACAGAATGTCATGCTGTATACCAATTTTAACCTCCCAGAGAGGGGAGGGGGGGGGGGGATTAGCCAACTACCCAGTTGGCTGCCTTCCTGGCCTTACACACACACACACCCCCCTTACCATGCTTTGTATAACGCACCCACAACCTAACATATATGGCCCTGGAGCATAAGTTACGGTTCCAGCCAAGCAGGCAGGCAGCAACCCTGGGGATCCAGCGCTTCCTTATCAACTCTCCTCGAGCGCGGTGGGTGTGAGGAAACGCACTTTTTCAACTCCGGGGAAGGAAAACAGGCAGGAAGGAAGTGATACAATGGGCTATAGCCATGCAGTGCAATATCACCTTGCAGTTTATCATATGCCGGGGGAGGATTTCAGGCTTGAGCGGAGGTTGTTTAGCCTAGCCTAAGTGCCATTCTAGACCCGCTCGCCCCCGCAGAGCAGGTCCCTCCTTTAGAAAGCAGGTTTGTAAAACTTACGATACTTGGGCAGCATATCATGCATCTCATCCCTCCCGTCCTGCTGGCAGCTCAGTAAGCAAGTACTGTACTGTACACACAAAACCGTGAAGCCCCGATCACGAAACGTCTCAAAAAAAAAAAAAAAAACTACCCACAGTAATATTATGTATGATGGCTCTATCACACTCTTATGATATATACACGATCGTATTAGCACAGCATCACAGCACATAGCATGCATACAGCACGACAGACAGCATTGTGACCAAACCTTATGTATGATAGATACCCGTTTGCAACATATCATCACATCCATCCATTCATCTCTCTCTCTCTCTTCCCACCGAGTTCAATCAACCATGCGCAGCGATCATCCCCGCAAGAAGTCAAAGGAAAAAAGAAAAGAAAAAAGAAAACTAACCATCATACAGCCACCTTCCTCTACCTGTACGGACGGTACGGTAGTAACCCACCCACCCACCATCAGATAGATAGATACCCAACAGCAGAATACCCCCCAAAAAACGACACTACCTATCTAACCAGCCTAAACAGGACCCCACCCGGGACCGAGAGAGAGAGAGAGAAACAATCCTATACACCGCGCACGAACCCACAAAAAAAAAAATTCACCCCAACCGCAATACGTACAGTAGACACAAGTAATTTTTCGAGTGACGCAACATGACCAAAGAAGCAGAACAACCCCACCAAAACCGCTTTCCAAAAGCATGGAATACTATATTTAATTTGGTCGTATTTACCGTACCCATTTCGCTTACAGATTGCGGGTGCAAGGTTTATCGTACCGGTCCCCCTCCCTTGCAAACTCTCGCGGGAAAGGGGATCCTTCCTTCGTTCCTTCCTTCCCTTCTTTCCTATATTGGATCGAATATATTGCATCCCGCGAGTAGATTGTGTACTTTAGGTAAGTAGGTAGGTAAGCGAGATTCAGTTTCTTACTTACTTGGTCGGTTGCAGTTGTGTCATTTACCGAGGGAGGGAGGGGGGGTATCAAAGGTTCGTGGTCTGGTGCGCTATATGGAGGTGGGAGGTTCATTATAGCAGACTGGAGAGTTTAAATGATACCGGCACGATGCGCTGTGGCCATGTTATTGAAGTTTGGCCAAGGTCAAGTGATGGTGGGATACGCACGCATTGTAGTAGCACGTGAATATTTGTCTATTGATCAGATCCCTGACTTGCTACCTTGCAGTAGCCCCCCATCTCTGCTCCTCGCCACAGATCTCCCCGAAGGTATCAACTTAATCAATCCCATTCCGCTCTCTTTTGCAACCGCCAGTGCGCAGGTCCTTATTCCCTCTCTCCTTCCGGAGCGACCATATTTCCCAAACTAGTTTCTCTCCTCTCCTCCGGCCAAGCATCTCTCACCTAATTGGCTCCTAATCTTCCAAACGCTCTGGTTGGGCGCTGAGTTCAAATTTGATCACGTGATTCCCGATTCAATTGGATATTGGGACAGTTTTTTAAAATTTTAGCGCTCTTTTTTAGTTTTCCGGAATTTTCTTTTTTTCTTTTTTTCTTTTCCTTTTTTTTTAAAAAAAAAAGGGTGTATGAGTGTTCGGGTGATAGGTGGATGGATGGGAGGGAGACAAGAAGAGGTAGGTACAGGAAGGGAGAGTATTTCCTCGTATTACGAAGGAAACAAGTGGCGGAGGGGGGAGAGGGCCGAGTGGTATTGTTGTAGGTTGGGTAGGTAAGAGAGAAATGATTATAGGTTATGGGAGAGGGTGCATATTTATAGGGTAGCTGTATGGTATGTAAAAAGGAACAGAGACAAGAAATACTCGAGTGGAGGGGGAGGGGAGGGGAGAGGTGAGATGAATGAGAAAATGTAACCAAGAAATAGGTAATGTTCGTAAGAGGACAAAAAATGCGTAGGCTAATACAATTACTCGAGAAGGAGAAACTGGGGAAGAAGAAGAAAAAACAGGTCCCTGTACTATATAGAAAGGTCCGTTTGGGTGAAACAAACAAACAAATGCGTTTTTTTCAAGGAAGAAATGATATCCCGTCCCGTCCCCGTTTTGCTCGTCTTGTGAATCGTATCCGACCGTTCCGTCACGTGCACGTTCCTCCAACCACAGGAAAAAAAAAGGCTGGGGAGATAAAAGAAAAAAAGAAAAAAACAACGAAGGGGAAGGAGAGGATTGGTATTGAATGGAAGACGGAGGAAACGGATGTCATGGTGAGAATCGAAAATAGAGAGGGAAAAAAGAAAAAAAAAACCATAGCGACGTCAAAACTCCTCAACTTCCTTGCGGTGATAGCAGTAAAGCAAGCAATGGTTCAAATAGATCACCCAGATTCCACTAAAAGCCCTTGAGAACCAAACAAATGAAATAATAATTCCCGGAGTAAACCGTATGTAAAACTACCCATGCTCCAAGCAAACCGGAAAAAGCGAATGGCAAAAAATATGGAAGGAAAAATAAAAATAAAATGGCAGTAAAAATGAGGGTGGTTAGAAGGTCAAAGAGAACTAGGGCACCTCATAATCCCGTTCACCCTCCGCATCTGCATCTCCTACATCGCCTTGCTCGTTGCTGCCCCCTGCTCCTTGGGGATCTTGTAGATGACCACGCTGGCTGGGCAGTTGATACATCTGCTGAGCCAATAAACAAACACAATTAGGTATCGGCTATCTAAATGGCCCCGTGCTCGACAGCTGCGAAACAAATGACAGAATGGGGAGGGGGAGGACATAGTCTTACCTGTTGATGAGGAATGGCGGGATAATACATCTGATCTACCGGTATCCCTTCCTGATACATCTGCTGTGGGTAACCCCCTTGAGGTTGTACCGGCCCAGTGAATATGTTCTGCTGCTGATATCTTTCAGGGTCCTGATTCATCCCAGGGTGTCCAGGGTGCCCAAGATAGTCCTGTGGAGGCATCTGGGGAGGTTGCTGAGGGGGTTGTTGTTGTTGAGGGGGCTGCTGGGGAGGTTGCGGAGGCTGCTGCTGATGGCTTGGGCCGCCGCCTCCACCGCCGCCAGACCGCTTGGCATGAGATGCTTCCTCCCGCGGAACTATATCGATGAGAAAGTCAAACATATCGCTTTTCGCAAGAGCAGAAGCAATATCGGATCGCTGCAGAGTCCGGCGTTTATTCTCCTCGGCGTGTATCCAAGCGCGCATCGTAAGTTCTGTAATGAAGATGTCGCAACCCTTTGCGAATAGTATCGGTGCCTCGGCCGAGATCATCTTCACCTCCGGATCCGCCTTCATAACCTTCTTTATCCTCGCCAATGGTAACTGGTGTACTTTATAATCATGATCCTCGGTTTCGAGTTGGCTTATAATATGCTGCCAATAGGTGGTAAGAATGTCGCGATAATGGCCAATGAGTCCTTGGGAAACCTGATATTTCAGAAAATCCATCAATACGTGTGTCTTGAAGCGGGGGATAGAAGGAGGAACAGAGTTTTCGTTTTTTCTGGGGGAGGAAATACATTTGAGAAGGGACCGCTGTATATATCGGGAGCTGGGACTGTGGAGGACGCTACCAGCGCCGCGCTGGCTCCATACTGTGCTCCGTCGAACCGTTAGCATCTCTCCGCGTGCAACACATCACACTGGGGCGTGAAGATTGAACATAATTCAGGAACAAAGGATATGAAAATAGTCAAAACAAATAATTGTTTCAAGAATGAAATAGGGTTAGACTGACATGGCCCATCACGGAGATGTCATATGGGGGAACACTGGGCTGCTGATGTTGTGACTGCGAAGGGTCGTGCCTAGAGCCCCCAGAGGGGAATTGTTGATCCATATTCTGCTTCGACAAAATGGTGACGCTCAAGGCTAGAATGGAATGATGGTGAATCTTTGGGTATTTGCAACACACAAGAATCGGATTTATGAGTGGAAGGTTGATGGGAGGAGGACGAATTGCGGTAGATATAATAGATGAAACTGGCGGACGAAGTTATATGTAGCGCAGGATCTGCGCGAGATTGGTGGTTGTCGAAAACACACCACAGAGACCAAGTAAAACACTGACGAACGAGGTTGGGCCTTTTCTTTCTTTCCCCTTCCCGTTGAATGTCCGTTGGTGGAGGGGGGGGGGGTGGTGGAAGTAAGAATTGGGAACGCAGAGATGATGATGGAGAATGTGTGGTGAAGGACCAGGTTGCGCCAAGGGTTGGGGGGGGGGGGGGTGTACGGATCACAGTGACAGTGACAGTGGTTCACAAGAATACCGTACCGTAAGGGAGCAGGTACGGTAAGTACTCGAGTATTGGAAAAGGAGGGAGCAGTGTGGGTGATTGGGAGTGAAGTGCAGGCCAGAGGGAGACTCGTTACCAGCTAGAAACTTGGAAATGTATCCGATCTATAACTCTTGTCTTCCCCGTTTCCTCACACGTATCTTTACAATACAATTGAGTAGTATAATACTACCCTTTAGTAAAGAAGAACGAAAAAAATAGGTATTGTGGTCGAACGTGGTCGTTGAGTTGGTACCGGTAGGGTAGTTTATGGTGGTGGTGTTGATGGCATTAAATTTTGCACTCTCCCCGCGACTACCGTACTCTGTCTACTGGCACTGTAACCGCAACGCACTCCCCTACACTACAAGTAGTTTCTCCCTCCTTTTCACCTATTTTTTTTTTCCCCCTCCGAACCCTTGCCACACTACAGTGCCCAGTTCGATGCAGGACGATACTTGTGCTGTACCATACCAAATTCTTGCACCCGTATACGTACCATACCACCCTCCCGGTGGCCCTCCGGTAACCATTCCATTCCTCTACGAGTACCAGGAGCATAGCCAACCGGAGCGAGAAGGGAAAAGGGCTAATCGTACCAAGAGTTACCACCGGTACTAGATCCCGTGCACAATTTCCCAGGAAGTTTTCCCTTATTTATGTATTTATTATTTTTTACTTTTGTAGTGATTTTGCCGCGCTCAGCTCGCAGGCTACGACCATATCTTCCTTCTCCGGGTCAGTCTGTCAGTCTGTCAGTCAGTTCGGTGCGTGATGTGTTCTTGCAGGCCACTTTGCATGCGGCTAGGCCTGTGCAGCGTTTCCCCCCGTCTCAGCCTCATGGGTCCGCTTGCCTCTGATGCCGTGCCTTTCCTACCGCACTTTCCACAACCCCCCAGCCACCATTCCCCACGCGGCTCTCAGCCTCCTATGATAGCCTACCATATCATCATACGGTACACCATCCTACCACATCCTCCTGCCAGCTCCGAGAATTAAAACAAGGGGACATTGAGAGCAAGAGACAATGTCATGATGAAATAGCGCGAAACGGTTGAAGGAGGGAAGGCACCGAAGATGATTTCTACTCACCTGCAGTGAACTTGTGGGAACGTCATATCGGATTTCGGAATCGTTGGCTAATTCGCCCTCTTTCGGTTTAGCCTTCCCACTTCCGTCCTACTCGTCATCCAGCATTGGTTAGTGTGTGTGTGCAGGTTATGCGGCTTATGCCCTAAAAGCCACAGCCTCAGCTCTTCCTTTTTTCTCCTTCCTTTCTTTTTCTTTTCTTGTTGTTCCGTTCCGTTCGTCGTTTTTTTTCCCATTCACCCTCGTGTTTGTTGGTTGTGCCCCGTTTCAACTTCTTCGCCCACTTCCTCCCCCTCCCTCTCTCCCAGCTTTTTGCTCCCCCTCCTTCTCTCCCACCCCCCCCCCCCCTTCCCCGCAATGCCAACAGAAGAAACCCCTGATCTCTGTAAGGAATCAGCAGCGGCAGAAGCAGTGCAAGAAGGGAACAGAATTGACGTGGTCGGGGGCCCACCCGCTCGCTTGTTTTCCTCATCTCATGTCCGCGGTGACGGTTTTGGGGATGATGTCGCTGAGCTGTCGGATGAAACAATCAGCTGCCTGCTCAGCGAGGCAGAGGAAAGAATGAAAGCCTCATCTAAAACATTATCATCGTCCTCCTCTACTAATCGCGACAAAGCCTTGATGACAAAGTTAGTTTTTCTCCTATCCTTACCCTTTGTTATTTATGCCTGCCCCGCCTTCCTCCTGATTGTTATTTTCTTCCCTTTTCGTTTATGATACTTCATGATACGTACCGTACCTTCACGTATACCCCCCCCTCGGGTGGTGTGGGTGTGGATGGTTGTCTTGTTGTATCGCTCTTATACATCTCCCTGCAATGGAACCGAAGACTGATACGTGTACAAAGGTTCCCAAAGCTCAATCCCGGTGCTTCCCTGCCAAAGGCACCCATCAAATCCCAAGGCGCAGTTTCTAGAATATCGGATCCTTCTCTTCTCGTTCCCTCATCTGATCGTAAACTTGCGAACACATCAGCAGCTGCAGGAGGAGTATCCCTTGTGGATCCAGCGTTATCAAAGAGAAGGCTCAAAGAGGTTTTTATCCCCCCCCCCACCCCCACCATATTACTGTTTTTTCGATCAAATACTTTCACACTCGTTCCTACAAACTTCATCCCACACTCCAGGCACCTGCCTATGATGAAAACTTATCCCATTAGAACCTGAGCAAGGATGGGGCCCCGTCCTGGCGGCCCTACTTGCACTCCTGATTTTTTTACTATTCATAGTTACTCTGAGGCTTCCAGTTCTAAATGTATCCGCTTTTTTAATCGCTGTCAATACGACGTGATGTCATGTTGAAATGTACTAACATAGTGCCACTCTAAATTCAGGACAAGGAGAAAACTGCTGGATCGAAGTGGTTTGATATGCCGCGTACCAACCTAACCCCGGAACTTAAGCGCGACCTGCAGCTGATCAAGATGCGTGGCGTCCTTGACCCCCACCGCCACTACAAGAAGGACAGCTCTGCTTTTCCAGAATATTCCCAGGTTGGGGCCATTTTGGAAGGAAACGCCGACTATTTCTCCTCAAGACTTAGCAATAGGGAGCGGAAGCGGACGATCGCGGAGGAGGTCATGGCTGATGACAGTAGCCGCAAACGTTTTAAGAACAAATACGAGAAGATACAGAGCAGGAAGAGGAGCGGCAAGAAGGAATTCTACAAGAAACTCAAACAGCAACGGAAAAGGTCATCCGTCTAGCTCCGGATCAAATATCACCCATGCAACTGGCCTGGTCTCTCTTAGAATTTCCTCTTCCTTTTCCCCCCTTTTTCCAATTTCTCGGATGTATAATTATGTCAGGGTCATGGATGTTTCGGTTGGCGTTTATTTGTCTTTGGCGTTCCTCGACTTCCTCGGTTATCACAACGCCAACAGGCTCGCAGGAAATAACACGAGGGAACCACCGCCCCCCGGCAGTCCACCGGCACGGTACGGTATTCCCCAAAACATCCGAGTACCCGCAGTGGGCAAGAAGTCTCTAAAAACAGGGGTCGTGGGCTTGCACGGGTGCCAAGACGCTCACGGATTTTCTGCCATATATTCCGTAAACCCGTCTCCAGGTACCCCCCCGCCCGCTGCCACTACGAGCATATTACTAGTGTATTCTCAAATTTCCCCCATATCACACATCCTTGCCCCCCCTTCCTCCTCCCCTGGCCATGTGGTCGCTCTCACGTCGGCCAAGGATAGCGTGAGCAGTTGAAATAGAAAGGCTGAGTGAAAAAAGCAAAATGAAAAGTGGAATACCACCAACGTTTGATGTCCCTAGTTAATCTTCCCAATGTGTACCACGATTCATAAATCTTAACGGGCATACCAGCCGAATTCTAAAGCCGAATTCTAATGATGTCTCGCGTCTCGTGTCTCGTATCATGTCGCTGAGACAGTGTCAAGTTCCTTACGGCGGAGGGCTAGAATGAATGAATAAATCATCATACCAATTTTTCTTTCAGATTAAGGCAAAAAAAGAACAAAAACCGCTTGTTTGCCCCCAGAATACCCTCAAAATTTAATGCCGAATTGAGCCCAGCATCGAGTGCCATACACCACCGCACCGGTACCATAGGGCATCGAGGAAATAGATAAATGTATGATATCAGGGGGTAGGTTCATAAGATTAGAGTAATCCATAGATAGAAGGACTGAGAGCGAAGAACGAAGTCGGTGGAAAAGAAAAAAGAAAAAGAAAATCCGAATTCAAATCAAAAAAAACAGGTGTCACTTCTGATTTTGTTTTGTTTCGCCCCCGGTTTAGAATCTATGAGTTTGGTAATCAAATCCCGGTTAGTCTCACCCCAGCCGCAGGTAGATCAGACATCGGATATCGGAGCAGTTTGTGGCAGAGACATAAATGACGGAGACAGGCTAGGGTGTAATGTCAAGCGCAAGTATCCGGTATGAAGTACTCGTACCGTACCCGAACATTTAAGCCCGAATTTAGTACCGTACGGACGCTCAGATACTGTACGAAACTCTGATCCTTATGCTCATGTGGGTGTGGTATAATGTGTGGGAGGGATCGAGGTACCATTAAAGGGGGGAAGCAGGGAGGCGAGAGGGTGGTACGTTACACACCTTATTTCATAAGATCCGGCTCTTGTCATATATCTGACCCACTTGACACTGGAGTAATTATTCTTCTCAAACACTTTAAGGTAGCGCACCAACAAACCAGAGCTAGTGAACATCAGCAGGCTGAAGGAGAGCGATAACGGCGGTCTCGACCAGGCCTTCTGGTTCGTCATGGATGTCAGTGTTGCATCTGCACTGAGTACGTATTCCGCCTGACCTGTGAATCTAGGAATCCTATGTTTCCTCATGTTAGATATATTGCGGGGGTGGCGGAGCTAAAGGGAAAATATGCAGGGAGCGGAAGTGGAAGGGGGCAAGATGGGAAGGGGGGATATTACTTCCAGACAATGTGATTCTCGGAGGGCTCATATTTGGCTTTCCCCTGTGAGGTCCTCGTTTGTATGCCGGCAGTGTTCAACGGCGTAGGTACCCTAACAACTACATTCGTAGCGAACAACTTCGTTCCGTAATTGGCACGGATAGCGACTTGATACTCTACTTTGGTCTTGCCAATCTCGTTTACGATCGCGTGAACTCTAAAGGGAAGGTTGACGTTCTCCGTAGCCCGGTACCTCATCAACTCGAACTCGCCGTCCGGGGGAACAAAGGAGATGATTCGGTCCGTGTCGAACTTGCCGAGCTTTACACATTGGTGAAACTGGCAATCCTCTAGTGTCACAGATCCCGCCGCTGCCCGAGTAGCTTTCGTGCCAGACTTATTCCCCGACGGTCGTGTGAGCCCATCCCCGTCTAGGAGAAGACGATCATTGAGACCGAATTTGCATTCGGGGGTCCCAGAAAGGTAAGCGCGCATGATAATTTGGCCGGAGACATCGGCTCGCAATACGGTTCCTGCGTAATGAGTGTGAGTCTAGGTGCAGGCTTCGGGATATGCAGCTCACCTCCCGCGCTCATCAGCAGGTTCACATCTTCTATTACGTCCACAAAAGCTTCATTTTTTCTATACTTCACATCCGCTCTTCTCCACGATAACGCACCGGTGGCTTGCATAGTAATTCTAGTAGAATCCTCCTGCGGTCCGTCGGTATCAGCAGAAAGTCACAGATGCGAATCTCGAGATGCTTATGCATACGATTGCCCTCTCAGTCTTTACTCCTTCTGTTGTGATATACATTTTCAACGTGTCGGTCTCCGTGTTCTGCGGGTAGCCAAAATCCAAGATCTCTGTTTTAGCGCCCAACACTTAGCAATTCGTCCAAACACAGCTCCCCCTGTATCTGCCATCGAAGCTGTCCAAGCTCTTTCGGGATCCAACGTACCATCGAGAAGCTCATAGATAAGCACGAAGTTATTCTTCACAGCCTCCTCATCGAATTTGCCAAAGTAGCTCTTTCCCAGTGCGATGAGCCGATACAGAAACTCGAAAACTAAGGCTGCGTTGGCGTTGCTTTTTGTGACGGCAACCAAGTATATGTTCTCATGTTTAACATGCGAGAATGTTGTTGACCCCAAGGTCAGTATTGGTGAGCGCACCTGGGCGTTGGAAATAACCTGAATCCGAAAAACATCCGATAATCGTGGCCGACCTTATTTCACGCACACCCCCATCAGCCTCTACCTTAGGGACAGCGAATTCAGATGAAAGAGCCACCTTACAGTCGTTACGGAACTGACGGAAGATCAAGTTCTCGCCCTTTTGGTTGAACAGCAGGATCCCCGAAAGCATGGCTCAAGACACCTTCTCCTTTTCCTATGGTGCTTTGGTTGTTCAAGGAATTGTTTGCTAACGCTGTTGTAAGATCGGCTAGCCGTCGGTGGAGGATTTTTGTGAGATAACAAGCCTAAGTCGTAGAGGCAGCCGTAAATAGCTATCGGTTGAAGAGGCGAAGATAGGGAGTAGTGGAGGTTTGAATTTTGATCAGGTGGTTGAGGAGCCGAGACATGGGGAAGGTTGAGCCGCGACGCAACTAGGCTCCGTTCGGATAATTTTTCAAATGACCCCTTCCTGTCTTGCAGTAGACCATCTCCCCTCTCAAACTTAGGCCATATTTAACTGCAAATTTCAGGAACATAGGATCTACCTCGTTTTTTTCTCTTATAACGGCCTCCCCCGATAATCCAAGGATACGATATCTTCCGAGCCAAGTCACCCATTACCGGGGGCAATATACTATGCAAATTTTGCACTATCGAGTACATGCCCAATATTACTTCAGGCGGTTGCTCTAGCAGTTGTCTGGTTTCACGCCGCCAGACACCGGTATTTCGCTCATATCGTAAAGCGAACAACCAATTTCATACACCCTGAAATTCCGGCATAGATGAGCCCGCTTCTACATACCTTTCAGGAATTCGTTGACTATCCTCAAACTATGGATCGCATCGGCCATTGCGTAATATATCGACATATGAGCATCTCAAGCACCTGCGGGGTCCGCCCCACCTACTCGAGCATACGCCGATACACGTGAGCGGGGCATTGGAAAGGATTCGCGGGGGCACCTTTAGTGCTTAAGGCTGAAGACTTTACTGCAACTACCAGCCCCACATGCATCCGGTTGGATGTTTGGAGAGGCTGCCCGATGGATGAGGGGTTTGGAGGGGGGGGGCTTTCATTTATTACCTGGTACCAGCAGGCTGCTCCACAGCACCTACCATACATCGGCGCATAGATTTTCCCTGTCCGATTCTGCATCGGCAGTTAAACTGCAGCGTTCCGGCGCCCGTGCCAGGGCTTATTCTTTATTTCATTTTTGACTTTTTTGGTGTGCGCTGCTTTACTGGACTACCGAGACGAGATGTGAAGGCTGAGTATTTCCAAGCCCTACATAACTAATGGCGGATATACGCAACTTTATTGTTGAATCCAATTGCAAAGAACTCTTCAACCATTCAAACTTATATGTGAGAGCACTCACTGACTTCGCGGTTCGAACCTGGTCTCAGTATGATCCCGAATGTTGATATCCTATCCAGCGGTGAGAGAAAAGAACTTTAAAATAGAAGTTACTTATGATAGACGTTCTCATAACTGGAATGATAGCTGGTTTAACTAAGTGAGAGCGACTTGGATATTCACATGGGTGACCTCCACCGTCCGGGAGTGGCGCTCTGTTATTAGGTTTCTCGCTCTCCCCATCTATCAGGAGTGGCTCTACTTAGGTCCAGAGCAGGTATGATATTGCTACTTCTATTACACGTACAAAAAGTACTACCCCCCGATCTCTAAAAGGTGTCACCTTAATGGAAGCACTATCACAACCCGCCACCGAAAATTTATTCTCAACAGTTTCATTTGTTTACCTCCTCGACTTATTCATAAAATATGGAATAAAAACTACTAATGTATGCTCGAGTCTCCCGGTTTGCCTTTGCGGATAAATTGTTTAAAATGCGTCAAATACAGTCCCGAAGTTTAAGAACAACACAAAACTCAGAACAGACCCAAGCAAAGGACTTTCCCGACAGCCACGCCATAGGATTAGTACGAGGACATAAAGAATTATTGAAACTTGGATTTCTTGATATAGGGGTCCTCGAACCTTCACCAGGAGCCAAATGTTCACCAACTGGGATCAGAATATCCGAGTGATATCCCATGATATCAAGCGCCCTCATGCTAGTTCGCCGATCCACCGAACCCCTCCACTCTTTGATTTGTCACCACGCACATCCCATTAGTCAGATGACCCCGGAAAGAAAGAAAAAATAAGCGATGCTCACCTACCACATGTCGTACTTGAGCTACAACTGAAATAAATTTCCCATTGAGATCTAGGGGCACGGAAGCCAAACGTAGGTATTACCAAAACGCTGCACTCATGAAAGCGCCTAGAAATTAGTGGGCAGAACATGAGTGATAATCAGCACTGTGACCTCACCTCCGCAGTAATCTAAAAGGGCACTCGAGTACTGTTACCATACGGACCATCATCCCGGAATGTAGAGTTATGAGGTCCATGTCAAGAATTGGGGGGGCCTAAGTTTAAGTCTTAACTTGTGCAGGCTGGCTGAAATTGGTAGTGTAGTGTATGTAAAAAAAAAAATGCTCTGAGGCTCTACAGCATCTCATAAACAATTCCAACCCAACAGTACTTCCCAACAATAAGCTCCAAAGTTAATATGCATGCTCGGCCAGGTACCGGTAAAAATGGTCACAATTCATCCGCACTTTCCGCCCCGTTTTCTCATTCCGAATAGGGTGCGAAAGGTGCAATATTAACCTCGCACCAAACGGCATGGAAGCATGACATGCTCAAAATTTCACCTGCAACACCTGAAATCTGATTTTCTGTTTGGTGGGTTTAGTGGTCTACCGGATATCGTAATCCGCTGGTGCATATGATAACAACATTATGACACTGTTTCTTAAATTCATTTGGCTATTGTTTTGGCAGTTGTAGTCTCATTTTTATGACGCATGTGAGGCCTTAGACATACTCGCTGGGGCAAAGCAAACCTAAGAAACTAGGGCTGCAGAGAACATCGCACAGCCCATCACTATCAATCACTCAGCTCTGAACGCGACAGGGAGAACTAAAACTGTTGGGGTGTCCTCGTTTGTTGTCACGTGAGAGGGAGAGCTGACTAAACTCTATCTTCCAGGGCCAGGGTTATTCGTACAACCCAGTAAGAGACCAGCCAGCGCCCCTCCATTCTTTCTTCTCCTCTCCAATTTCTCTATCCATCAACCTCCCATCTCCCATCCACTTTTGGTTTTCTGTCATCCCCACCGCCTCCTCTGCCTCGTTTTTTTTTTTCGCCTATCCCTCCCAGAGGGATATTTATTCTTTTTCTTTCCTGGACGACATAGCATTCGTTTCCAGCCGGTAATTGTCAACCATGTCCGAACCCATTAGAAATAAAAAACTTGACACCCTTGCGGGGGCACCGTGAGTTGACACACTCGTCACTATTTTTCTGCTATTGACATTTAGCTAACTGTTTCGAAACAAAGTACTCCCCAGAACACTCCTTCTACCAATGCTCCTATCTCTTCTCATGCCGCCGAACCCAAGGTTTCCACTATTGAAGAAGGTTTTTATACATTTTCTTGCCACTCGCCTGTGATTCTTTGCTGATTATCTACTGTCATAATAGAGATATTTGACCGCGCTGCGGCTGCTTCAATCTTTGCATCAAATCCTCAACTAGTTTCTATGATACAGGGCAAACTTGGTTCTCTTGTCGGACGCTCGTCCGGTTATATTGAATCCCTTCCTGCTCCAGTCCGCCGTCGTATTTCCGGTTTGAAAGGTGTTCAAAAGGAGCACGCTAAGTTGGAGGCTGAATTCCAGGAGGAGGTTCTGCAGTTGGAGAAGAAGTATTTCGCAAAATACACACCTCTTTACCAAAAACGTGCACAGATTGTCAATGGTGTCGCTGAGCCTACTGAGGCGGAGGTTGCTGCTGGCAAGGCGCAAGACGATGACGATGAGGAAGAGTCAAAGTCGGATGCGAAGGTTGAAGACAAGGCTGAGGCTAAGGAGGATCTCAAGGGTGTTCCAGAGTTCTGGCTGTCAGCGATGAAGAATCATTACCCGCTCGCTGAGACTATCACCGATAGGGACGAGGCTGCGCTTAAATTCCTCACCGATATTTGTATGACCTATCTCGACCGTCCAGGCTTCAAACTCATTTTTGAGTTTGCCGAAAACGAGTTTTTCATCAATAAGGAAATCACCAAGACCTATTACTATCAAGAGGAGAGTGGCTATGGAGGCGATTTCATCTATGACCATGCTGAGGGCGATAAAATTAACTGGAAAGACGGCAAAGACCTTACCGTGAGGGTCGAGTCCAAGAAACAGAGAAATAAGAGTATGGCCCCCTCTAACATACTCACTACTTGTTTTACTAATGACGCCTTTCAGACACTAAACAGACCCGCGTTGTTAAGCGCACTGTTCCTACTGAGAGTTTCTTCAACTTCTTTAACCCTCCTAAGCCCATTAGCGGCGACGACGACGAAGAAGACAATGACGAGGAACTTGAGGAGAGGCTTGAACTTGATTACCATCTTGGCGAAGATATCAAGGAGAAACTTATTCCCCGCGCTGTTGACTGGTACACTGGCGAGGCTCTTCAATTCGAGGAGTTGGAGGACGAAGTTGAGGGCGAGGACTTTGACGACGACGACGATGATGACGATTTGAGCGAGGATCGGGATGATGACGATGACGATGAATCTGAAGATGAGGTAATCAAGCACTTCTATTGTTACCTGTCTACGTAACTGTACTAACAAACAAAACCAGGACGATGGTACAAAGCCCAAACAGGAAGCTGCTGAGTGCAAACAGAGCTAGGCGCATAGTCTATGTCTCTTTCTTCTCAAAACATGTCGGTTTCTTTTATGATCAATGCTTGCCTGTGTAAGCAGTCCGAAATTTTTTATTTATTTTTTTCTGGTGTGCTCTACAGCGAGGTTGGGGTAGACAAAAGGTGGGGAGAATGGGTTGCGGATTAAGGTACAAATCATGAGGTGGAAGGGCGAGTTAGCTAGTTCAGTGAAATATTTTTTCTTCCTGCATAACTCCTTTTTATAAACTAGTACGGCTTCTTTTGTGGGTCTCCTTTTTCTTCTTGATGTCTTCACTATTGTGCCTGTCTCAGCTTATCGCTCTAGCCTGCGTTATTTGAACACTTTGCCTAGTTTTACTACATTACACTTTCTCACTCTCAGACCCTCCTTCCCTCCATCCATACTATGTGTCTCACATCTTCATTCGCATCCATGTATCTCTTGCTAGCCTTTTTCTCCGGGATCGGTTGATGGATGCGAGAGAAGACTACTCTAGATCCATGAAGTTCCTGCAACAAAAATTTCCACCTCCCAACAATTACCGCTGTGAAATGTTCCCACTGCTGAGCTAGAAGAGTAGCGGTAGGATCAGCACTTATACCGGTATTTCCGTAGAACCCATACCTACAGTATAATCCTTCCATGCCATGCCATCCCCGGGAAAAAAACACCCTTTCGACTCGCACTCCACACACAATAACCATTTACAACCGGGTATTCACCACTTTCCTATGCACCGAAAACCTACCGCTACTGTACAACGGATTATAGCCTGTGCCCCCCCCCCCCCCCATTCCCCTCCAATACTGTGTGTCATGGCAGCAGGAAATAGCCGTGAAGAGGAAAGTATGAGAAAAGTGGGAGATTCTTCCCCCAGTTCCTAGTTTTTTTTATTCCCGACCATGACCATGACACCTTTTCCTGCGGAAGAATGTGCTTTTTGCGGATCGAACATACTCGCTTCGGCCTGACCCGTTGCCCTGGGCACATCGTTTCCGGCTGAGACATTCCGGGACGAAGTTAGTTGACTTTTTTTTTTTCCCTCCTATTCACTATCAGAGTACCGGTGTACGCTACGAAGTGCCTTTTTTCCTCCCACCCCTCATTACTATGTGCGAGGAAAGTGAGTGATTCTGTGTGAACATAGCCAGCGCGTTGACTGATTCGTCCAAACCGGTACCTTATACTGCATTACACTCGAGGCGATGACTTCTGTGAAGCATTAAAGACGGTCCTTCACATACACTCGTACGTACGGGAGGCGGTGAGGTGCGGTGAGGTGCGGTGAGGTGAGTTATAAGTGTTATTGGATCCCGCCTCCACTGCCGGTAGGATAAAATCCGGACAGTCAGTCCGCAACAACGGGAACGATTGGATTGGATTGGATTGGATTGGAAAGTAGTCTACCGGTAATAGTATTATGATACAGTTATCATATGTCGGTAGATTCTATTCCTACTGGGTAGCGCCCTTTCCCGGGAGGGGGGCACAGTACGGTACCGGTAGCGATTTGTTCCCGGAAGTTTCTTTTATCCTTCTGGCACATACAGTATATCATAATAATACTATCATGGGTTTTTTTCTTTTTAATTAATTACCCGGTAGGTTTATACGAATAATACGGAAGGGCTATGGGGTGGGTGAACGGGTCGGGTCGATGCAGGGGTATCAGAGTAAGGGGAGTGGACTACCGGTACTGTACCCGTACGGTAGGAAGAAAAAAAAAAGATGGATGAGTGAGAGTGGTGGATACGGTACAGTACGGTATGTAGGGGAATGGGGGAAGCGGGTAACGTATCCGATTGGTATATTATATCATATATACGTGAATCAGTGGGGGGGGGGTTATCTTCTCATTGTACGGAATATATCATACGTGATCGAGAAGATTGCTGTGAGGGGAGGGAGGGGAGGGATCATACCTATACCAACAACTGAATTGGAGGTTTCCTTTTTTTTTTTTTTTTTTGCCTACTACGGTACCCGTATGTAGAGATTCACAAACCTCAGTGGTTTTCAGTGATCTGCAACTCTCCAAGCTTCTATCTCTCTCCTTGGTTCAGTTAGAAAGGCTTAAGTCAAGCATGCAGAAACCCCACCCGGCGGGGGCGGGTACAGTACACCCGCAGTATATTATTCCAGAGATTTTCCCCCATGGAAAATCTCACCACGTTTCCCCTCTGCGATACGTCCCCTGTAACCCGATCCGCCAGCCCCAGCCGGCTAATTAACCCATACATATAATGTTGTGCCTCCTCCTCTTGATGCACATCGGTACTGGCTCTACTGGTATTCTTGTTCACACGGTGCAGTATGCGGCGGCGCTTTTGGGCGGCGGAACGAACAAACGAACGCGTGCACTGACCCAGTGTTTCTCTTGGTAGGCGCCAGGAGGAATCGAGGAGCTTATGGTATTCCTCCGCCTGGGATATTTTTAACGTCCGGGGGGAACGTGGAATGCAATGTTTCGGGTGATTGAGTGTAAGTGTGAGTATGGACTCTTGCAGCGTGCCATGGCGGAGTTTTTGGAGAGGATGGGAGTGAGAAGTGTTGGAGGGGTTTGAAGGGGGTTTGTATCGATTAAGGTTTGTGTTTGGATATCGGTTGGTTACCGGCGAGGATCAGCGAGGGTGACCGGCTCATGATCAGGGTGTTATTAATAGACAGCTTGAGGGTAAGTATCCGGTGGTGTGGCAGGTTCGAGGGTGTTTCGGGGGGACGTTGGTTTTTGGCTGACGAGTTTGTGGGGGTATGTTTGATAGCAGAGGTGTTGGGCGAGGAGGCAAGAATGAGGTTTCGGGGGTACCGGAGTTTGGGATCGGGGTTAGATGATGCTGCCCTGACAGATAGTTAGACTACTTATGGGCAGTATACATAACAGCGCAAGCAATTATGGCACTACATATCTAATGCGGTGTAGTATCGCGAGTACAAAACTAGAGTAGAGAGCATGTGAATGTCCTGGTACTTGGTTCAAAGGTTCTCTAGCACATCAGGATTCATTAACAGGTTGTAGCGCTGAGTATTAGAGCTCGTGTGTTTTGCACGTTTCTTCGATAACTGCTTTTTCCTTCAAAGTTTCGAACTCTGCTCGAGTACTCCTCAACAACCGGGATTGGGCATTGATAGGGATCATAATGATTACGTAGTTATTCCCACTACATAACGAAATTGTTTCAGTAGTGTTGTACCATACCATACCATCAGGTGTCTGGTGGTAACATGCATTTTAATGCTCTCCCCTTCGGATTCCCCTTGCCCCAAATTTTGTCGAGTTATCTGTCTCCGCGTCTTAGGCCTGGAATCCGGGTGGTCAAATGCGATGCCGAGGTAGGAAGCTGTGTTATCTACTGCACCTTATTTCTCGGTTTGGATCACAAAACCGGGAGGGAGTCTTGGAAAGTGGTGATGGTAGACAGAGGAGGTTCGGGCTCCGGCTAAGTCGCTTTGGTGGGAGGGGAGGGCATGCCCTCACCAGCCTTAGGAACTATGATACATTATTTGTTAACATTGGGGAGATCGCTCAACTGCAACATCCAAGAGGTCGGGTGTGACTTACACATAAGGTACTAGCCTCCATATTACCCGAAAAAAAATTGAGGAGGAGGAGGGTCTCCATTGTAGGATAAATGTGAAAGGTGCTTTATAATTTGTATTGGGGAAACACATTCTTCAGTTAAGGTGCGGAATGTACTCTAGCACAATCCTGTTTGGAGAGGAGGACGGAATTGTGGGGTAACTTAACGTGCCACCAAGATGAACAGGAGGAAACCGGGGATGAGCCCTGGTGAAGGTTTGGATTGCTACCGGCAGACACTGTTACCGTAAAGGATATCTATCAATGAGCGGAAGAATATTTGAACGTTTTCCCCTTCCATAGGGTTTGGAGGACTCCTTTTGATTCGGGTGAGGGAGAAGAGGTTGTAGTACTGTACAGTGGTTTTGTAGGTGCACGGTATGTGCCCATGTATGATCAGCAGCAATGGAACGCGGGCGGGGAGTTTTCCGGCTGAAACAGCAGACTCTGTATGCGGGTTGGGGGCCTGAGGCTACATTGGAGTAAGGAACTCTTGGACCCCGAGCTTGACGCGGGGCTGTCGTGATGAGGAGCATCGGTAGTACTAGGTGAAGGGAAAGAAATGGGGAAAAGAGGAAGGACGTCTCATACTGCAGGAATAGAAAGATATCTTGATGGAGGGAGTACCGTAGCAGAAGGAGTAGAAAGTGCTCTCTGGGTTTAGCCGACTTGCCCTGCCCCTTTTCGCCCGTTCCTTTGATTCGCCGTGCGCTCCACCCACCACCACGGCCTCGTTGACAAGCCCAACTGAGGGACCCTGCCAAAATTATTTCTCAACCACCGAGAGTCTCCTAAACACCATCAACTCAACAAACACCTTCCCCTCTCCTCCCTCCCCCTTCTGCCCTTCATTATTATCATCCTGCTTCATCTCCTAAACATAACCCTTAAACTCTTTGTTTTTCTAGACCTCGTTTGTGCCAAAGGAAGCGAGATTCGTGCTATAGTTTTCCTCAAACTGTCTGGGACAGCAACAGCTGCCGTCTTGGAGTTATGGCGCACTCTTACAATGTCGACACTGGTGCCTGGATTCAAGACACCCATGAAGGATGGGTTTCTTCGAAGGTCATTTCTAAGAACGTGGGGGGAGATGGAGCAACTCTAGTTTTTGAGGTTACTTCAGGAGACCGAATCGGTGAGGTATTGTTATCATTATCTGCTCTCTAGCTGGGACACTTTTGATTCCCGTTTCCATTGTTAACCCTTTTTGTAGAAAATCACTACTACTACAACACTTGCGGCTCTTGAGGGAGATGCGGAGGATAGAAACCTCCCGCCTTTAATGAATCCACCTGTTTTGGAGGCTACCGATGATCTGACCAGTTTATCCCATTTGAACGAACCAGCTGGTATGTTGCAATTCATCGGGCCTCCCTCTCAGCGAAGCGTTCTTTGTTGTCTCCTTAGCTAACATTCCTGTCCTGCATAGTTCTACAAGCTATTAAACTCAGATATGCTAAACGGGAAATTTACACATACTCTGGAATTGTTCTCATTGCGACAAATCCTTTTGATCGGATGGACTACCTTTATGACCCTGGACTTATTCAAGCCTACGCCGGTAAACGACGTGGGGATCAAGATCCTCATTTGTTTGCGATTGCTGATACTGCCTACCAGTAACAATCCATAATATCTATCTGACTGGGGTGTTTGGAGTTGACAAGTTTGTTATAGGGCAATGGTTCGAGATAAGAAAAATCAAACAATTGTTGTATCAGGAGAATCTGGTGCTGGAAAAACGGTCAGTGCCAAATATATTATGAGATATTTTGCAACGGTAGAGGATCCCAATAGACCCGGCAAACGGAGGAAGGGGGCTTCAGGGGAGGTCATGAGCAAAACGGAGGAACAAATATTGGCGACCAATCCTATCATGGAGGCATTTGGCAATGCAAAGACAACTCGAAATGATAATTCTTCTCGTTTTGGAAAGTATATCGAGATCATGTTCGACAAACAAATCGATATTGTGGGCGCGAAAATCAGAACATATTTGCTGGAGCGTTCAAGATTGGTGTATCAACCCGCTACTGAGCGAAATTACCATATCTTCTATCAGTTGATTGCTGGAGCGTCTGATGAGGAGAAGAGGGAGCTGGGGTTGCTTCCGGTGGAGCAATATGATTACTTGAATCAAGGAGGAGACCCCACTATCCTCAATGTCGACGATGCTGCTGAATTCAAATTAACCCGGGAGGCTCTTGGGACTATTGGCATTTCGGAAGTAACTATGGCTAGAATTTGGAAAGTTTTGGCAGCTTTGCTTCATTTGGGTAACACTAAGATTGAAGCATCTCGGAACTCGTCTGTACTTCTGACAACAGATCCCGCTTTGGTTAAGGCTTGCGAGCTTTTAGGTGTTAATGCTGAAGAGTTTGCTAAGTGGACAACAAAGAAACAATTGGTTATGCGAAATGAGAAGACAATTTCCCCCCTGAGTCAGAAGCAAGCTCTTGTTGTTCGTGACTCGATATCGAAATTTATCTATTCGAGTTTGTTCGATTGGCTTGTTGAGGTTATCAATAACGGCTTGGCAGCTGGAGAGGTTAGGGAGAAGGTGAAATCTTTTATCGGTGTTTTGGATATCTACGGTTTTGAGCATTTCAAGCGTAACTCTTTTGAGCAATTTTGCATTAATTATGCAAATGAGAAGCTCCAACAAGAGTTTAATCAGCATGTCTTCAAACTAGAGCAAGAAGAGTATGCGAAAGAACAAATTAATTGGGCGTACATCGAATTCTCCGACAATAGACCCTGCATCGAGCTCATTGAAGCAAAGTTGGGTATCCTGGCCCTTTTAGACGAGGAATCCCGTCTCCCCGCCGGAGCAGACGAAACATTTGTTGAAAAACTTCATCAGAACTTCACGACTGGTAGGCCAAAGGGCTTCCCTTATCAGAAGCCGAGATTTGGGAAAACATCTTTTACTGTTTGCCATTATGCCATTGATGTCACGTATGACTCCGAGGGGTTCATCGAAAAGAATAGGGATACTGTGCCAGATGAACACCTTGAGTTATTGAAGGCATCAACCAATCCATTCCTTACGGAAGTCATTCAGTCTGCTACATCGCTTAGAGATAAGGTGCGTTAGTGTTCTTCGGTTTTGGGAACTAGGCTAATAGCGTAGGAAAACGCTTCTGCGCCCAGAATGGCTGCCGGCCCGGTCGCTAGAAGGGCGGGCGGTATGGTCAATCGTAAGCCAACATTGGGAGGAATCTTCAAGTCCTCTCTAATTGATCTTATGGGCACAATTGGATCGACAAACGTGCACTACATCCGTTGCATCAAACCGAACGAAGCAAAGGCAGCTTGGAAGTTTGAGGGCCCAATGGTTTTGAGTCAGTTGCAAGCCTGTGGTGTTTTGGAGACCGTGAAGATTAGTTGTGCTGGATACCCTACCAGATGGACTTATGAGGAGTTTGCCACCCGTTACTACATGTTGGTTCACTCTAGCAATTGGAAGGCCGGGAATATCAGGGACGTTGGGCTTTTGATTCTTAAGGCTACTATCCCGGAAGAGGGACATCCCCGCGATGGACAAAAGGATGGGAAGGATAAATTCCAACTTGGGATGTCAAAGATTTTCTTTAGAGCTGGCATGGCATGTATTCCCATGGCTGTCTACTGATTTTTTTATATTCATTGCGTCTTCTAACAGGTTCTTTAGTTGGCCTACCTCGAAAACTTGCGGACAACTCGCTTGAATAGTTGCGCGATATTGATTCAGAAGAATTTGAAAAAGAAATACTATCGACGCAAGTACCTCGAGGCTCGTGAATCAATACTCAAGCTCCAAGCATGGGTCAGAGGGTGTCTTGCTCGCAAGGAGGCACAAGCTATGCGCGTAGTGAAAGCTGCTGTTACCATTCAGAGGGTCTGGCGTGGCTCTAAACAACGCAAGGCGTTCAACAGGATTCGTAACAGTGTTATTATTGCTCAAGCAGGTAAATTGGCTAATCCGAATAACTATTGACACCTGCTGATACGTGGATATGAAAATAGCTGCTAAGGGTTACCTATGCCGAAAGTCTATTATTGATCGTATGCTTGGGAACGCTGCACGATACATCCAAAAGGCTTGGAGGTCAAGGTGAGACAATTCAGTGATCTCATCCTAAGGGGGGAGCCAAGGCTAACGATGTGTGCGCAGACGTTTCTTACAAGCTTGGAGGACATACCGCAAGAGGTGCGTTTATATACAGAGTGTTTGGCGTGGTAAGATAGCTCGAAGGCAATACCGAAAAATGCGCGAGGAAGCCAGGGATCTCAAACAAATCTCGTATAAGCTGGAGAACAAGGTTGTTGAGCTTACCCAAACGGTGGGAAAACTTAAACAGGACAACAAGGCTCTCCTAGAAAAGGTGGAAAGCTTCGACAACCAAGTGAGGAACTGGAGAACTAAGCACGCTACCTTGGAAAACCGTAACAAGGAACTGCAAATTGAAGCCAACCAAGCCGGTATTGCATCCGCTCGTCTTTCACAAATGGATGAGGAGATGAAGTCACTCCAGCGGCAATTTGAGGAGTCGACGGCAAACATGAAGCGGCTCCAGGAAGAAGGGAAATCTCTACGCGCAGCTCTTTCCAAGAGAACCTCCGAGCTTGATGTCCTCAAGTCACGTGACCAAGTGCATGAGGACGAAAAGATGTCTTTGAGGCAACAAATCCAGGCTTTAGAGGATCAACTGCAAAACGCGGGACCACCCGTGGAAGAGAATGGACATATGGAAAAAGTGCCAGCTGGTCTTGCCAATGGTATCATCAATTTCGTCTCTAACAAGAAACCTAAGAGGCGGAGTGCTGAGGTTAACCGATTTGAAAACGATGGAATGTACCGGTCTTCATACCAAGCTCGCCCTGTCTCTATGATGCCTACAACGGCCCCTATTAGGAACAGGGACCTGGACGTTCTCGCTTTCAGTCCTGTAGTAGAAAATACGGAATACGAGCTTCAAAGACTGCTTGAAGAAGACGAGGCGTTGAGTGAGGAGGTGGCTATGGGTCTTATTCGAAATCTTAAGATACCATCACCCAGTAGTCAGAATGCGTTAGTTGAGAAGGAGGTTCTATTCCCGGCATACCTCATTAATGTTGTTACCTCTGAAATGTGGAACAACGGGTTTGTGAAGGAATCTGAACGATTCTTAGCCAACGTCATGCAGTCAATTCAACACGAAGTTATGGTTAGTAATTTAGAAATGCCCGTTGTCGAATTGTATAACAGTTAACTAATATCTGCTAGGCACACAATGGTGATGATGCTGTTAATCAAGGTGCATTCTGGCTGTCCAATGTCCATGAGATGCTCTCTTTTGTCTTCCTCGCTGAGGATTGGTATGAGATACAAAAGAAGGATGACTACGAGTATGATCGCCTGTTGGAGATTGTCAAGCATGATTTGGAGAGTCTCGAGTTTAATATTTACCACACGTGGATGAAAGTCTTGAAGAGGAGGCTGCATAAAATGATTGTCCCGGCAATTATCGAATCCCAATCCCTTCCTGGTTTCATCACAAACGATGGTAATAGGTTCCTGAACAAGTTTCTTGCGACCTCGAGTGCTCCCCAATATAGCATGGATGATCTCTTGACCCTACTGAATAAGGTATACAAGGCTTTGCGTGGATATTTTATTGAAGAGTCAATTATTACGCAAGCAGTTACTGAGTTGTTGAAACTTGTCGGCGTTACTGCGTTTAACGATCTTCTTTTAAGAAGAAATTTCTTGTCGTGGAAACGCGGGCTCCAGATCAATTACAACATCACTCGTATTGAAGAATGGTGTAAGAGCCACGACATGCCCGAGGGTACGCTCCAACTAGAGCACTTGATGGTATGTAATTTTTCCCGCCTCTCACGGGTATCCTTGCTTATAACTTTTTAGCAAGCTACAAAGTTACTTCAACTCAAGAAAGCGACTCTAAACGATATTGAGATTATCCAAGATATCTGTTGGATGTAAGTCAACCGCTACCCACAGCGCCCAGGGGCACTTGCTGACAATAATAGGCTTTCTCCAAATCAAATACAGAAGTTACTGAACCAGTACCTAGTGGCCGATTATGAGCAGCCTATCAACGGAGAGATTATGAAAGCAGTTGCCTCCAGGGTCACCGAGAAGAGCGACACCCTTTTGCTTCAGGCTGTAGATATGGATGACAGTGGGCCATATGAGATCGCTGAGCCACGAGCTATCACTGCACTAGAGACCTATATACCTTCATGTGAGTTCCATAAATTCGCCCGAGCTTGGATTCTGGAGACTAACGTTTTCTGCAAGACCTGCAAACTACTAGGCTAAGGCGGCTAGCAGAAATTGTTTCTGCTCAGGCCGAAGCACGCGCTGAAGCGGAGCGAGTGCGAGAAGGAGGAGACGACTTGGACGGGGATATTAAGACTCTGATTTCCGCCGAACTTGAGCCAGTGCATGAATAATGACTTCTGGTAATCCAGTCTTCACTCCCTGTATGCTTGCTCATCACTAACAGGATGTGATACAGACTTTTCTTTTGTAATGAGTGATGTCCTTAATGAATGAGTGTTAGCGGGTCTAAGGAAGACAAGAAAAACCTCTTTAGTTGCAGCCATGTGCTCTTTTTCATTCGTTGTTATATTTGGAAATGGGTTTGACACTTGAGAGGTACCTACTTTTTGTTCACTGCATTGGGTCAAGGTAGGGAAGTCCACAAAATGGTTTGCTGCGATGTTGTTTGCACCTCCGGAGAAAATTCCAATTTTTTCCTTTCTTTTCCTATCTTTTCACCCTTTATTTTTTTTATATACTTTTCTAGCTAGTCAAGGCTTTGCAGTGGCCCCTATAGTCACAAATTTTAGTACACATTTTTTTCCTTTGAGTCCGCCATCTTAAGTGCTATATCCCTTTGTTATTTCATTCCCTATATATTTCATTTGCGATAGAAAAGTCGGCCAAGCGTTTGTAAATGCATGTGAATGTTTTCCTTTACTTTTTCATTTTTATTTAGCTGGCGGAGCATAATTGTCGGATTGGGGAGAATTTGATTGATACAAGATAGTATATTTATATTATTATCACTACAGGTAGTTGCTTCCCGTGCTTGCGGTATGATACCACCAATAATGGCGGTGCGCTGGTACTGTACTCGAGTACTTTCGCTCTCCACTCTTCACATATTTGTATATTAACTGGAGCTTAGCGTATAGTAATTTAGCACTGTACAAAGAGATCTCCCAATTGAATCCCTCATCCACCGGGTTGGATACGATCAGAATAGGAGGTTCAGACCCCCAATACATGGCACCTCCATTTCCACATCGCCTTCTCCCCCACCAGCCACATGTGACGGAATGATACCTCCTCCTCCGACCTCCTCTCCCATCACACCGGTAACCTGAAGCGGGACCACCCTCCCTCAAAAACAGCCCAGCACACACCCCAGCCCCATCCGGTGCAGTGATTCCGCAGAACCACCGCTCAAGTGCAGACTTTCATTCACCGGCCGAGCCAGCCAGCCAGCCATCCGGAGCAAGGGTTCTGCAGCGCAAGTAAAAATCACTACTCCATTCAGCTCGCGTCAAGCGGGCTGCTCGTACGGGATTGTTTGCATACAGAAGTTGTATGTTGATCTGATTGGGCGTCAGGACAAGAAGTGGGGGTTTTTTTTTTATATATATAATTCGGATTATGATATTCTGGTGGTGAGGGTTAGGTAGATTAATTAGTTAAGGGGTTGTTCCTGGTCTTTGAGTATGTAAGTGATGAAATGAATGAGTGGTCGGCCGTTGTGGTAGGTAGCTCGTGAGTACCTTTTCATGATTCGATCGAACCCGGTCATTCATTCATTAGCGGATCTGCTGCTAAGGCCCTCCTCCGTATGATACGAAATGGGAGATACTGGAGAGCTTCGTGATATCGATCGGGTGATTTATATATAATGGGTGGAAAGTCTCCCTCAATCGGATGGTATCGCATCATGTCGCACCGGTACTTCCTCCCCTGCCGGTAAGTTCCAGTACACAGACAAGTGCGGCGAGCGCTACCCACCCCGTAGGAAGCCACTAGACGGCCTGGGCCGGCGAGGATCCAGGGTGCTCATGTTCACGTCCAATCAGGTAGAAGACCGAGCCGGAATTGCGGGCGCAAAAAGAGCACGGGGTCGAACAGTAATCTAAAAAAAAAAGAGATGAAGAAAAACCCCAAACATAATATATTCAAAGAGTAACGAACAAAAAGAAAAATGAGAGGTAGAGAAAAAAGAAAGGGCAGACACCCAATATCACACCATCACCACCTCAATAATTAACACCTTCCCCTCTACCTTCGAATCTTCTGCACCACCCACCCATCCATCCATCCATCTACTGCAACTGCACCCCCCTCTCCCGCCTATGCAACCACGCCTGCCCAGTACAAAATACCAAAAACCCGGCGTAAACTATGACAGCCCCGAACAGGACTCCGGCAACTTTTGCACCGTCCTCCGGATCCCCGGTTGATCCGAGCATTGTTTCGTGCCTAAAACCAGTCAACCACCCTCTCTCTCATCAGTCCGTTTTCCCACCCCTCCACTCCCCGTGTGGGAGGGAATGAAGAAGAATGAAATGCATACCCGGACTTGAAAAGCGCGCCCAGGACGCTCAATATGACGATTCCGAAGATGGAGGTTATGATGCTGGGTGCGCATTAACCTCTGCCTAGGGTAGGGGAGGTGGGAGGGCGGGAGGGGAGGTTACCATGACCAGACGTTGAAACTGTGATGGTTTGGTTTGGTTAGTTAACAGGCCGGAATGAATGGACGCGCGGTGGAAAGCAGAGGATGGGAGAGGGAGTGGGAGTAGGGAAATGACGTACAGGGAAAACATTGGCTTCATAGTGAAGGAATTTGGGGGGTAGTGCGTGGTGGAAAGTTGGGTTTTTGGGTGCCCGCTCTCTGGTATCTGCGGTGTGGAGTTATCGAAGGAAGAAGCTTTAGTTGATTGGGAGTACCGATGCGGTGCGGTGCTGTAAACTAACGTTTGTTGATGTTGTCGATGGATGGATCTGTCTCCTGGACTGAGCCTCCCGCTGCCAAGACTCTTAGCAGACTTTCCTTGTTGTGGGACGTGGGCTTTGGGCCTTTGGCGAGTGATGAGTTGTGATATGCACTCGGGGATGGGGATAGATCCGGAAAGCGTTTTTTTATATGTACAATACTACCATGCCGGGATACAAGGTTGACGTGATGATGGTATGTCATTTAACCTTTATTCACAAAGTAGAGGTGCCCGAGTAACGACTGTATCGTGTGATGCGCCGATCTAAGCAGATAAAAAATCCAGTAAACAACCAATCAACCCATCGATCCAACAACCTCATTCTCAATCTATTAGCCCGACAGGTCCAAGCGAACTCCATTTGATTTCTTGTCCGATTCCATGTCAAGAAGTAATCTATCAAACCCAAAGAAAGAGAGGAGGGAAAAGAAAAAAAAGCCACCGTACTAAAAGACCAAAAGAACAAAAACTACTTAAACGGAGAACCGGTAAAGTTTGCTACCCATACGCGCGCGCGCTGTCAATTGAAAAAGAACCCTGTACAGTTGATTTTTTTTTAGCCTCCTTGTCCGAACTAAAACCCCGTACTACCATTTCATATCCAATATCCCGCGACCACAAAGCTAATTCTATGGAGCCTCACAGCGGTATAGTGAAAACAACAAAGGGAAAACATATCGATGGGACAGTAAGGAAAATCAGTTCTCGTAAGCCGAGGCTAATTGTGACCTTTTAGCTGGGGGCGGTGGTGGAGGCGGCTTCTTCAATCCTCGGGATAGAGGAGGCGGCGGAGGCGCTTGCTTCCTCCCAGCGCCGGGGGCGTTGTACGCACTAGAGAGTGCATTGTTGCTAGACGTCCTTGATAGGCCCTGGCTAGTCAAAGGGGTAGCAGACCTCGCAGGAGATGCGGAACGCTCCTCGTAGCGATATTTCTCCCTATCAGGGGAACTACGGGTGGAAGAAGTATGGCTGTTGTTGTCCGAGAAAACATCTGCATTCGCTGACCTCAGAGTGCGGGTAGCAGGCAGCGGAGGCGGCCCTCCTTGGTCCGATCTCCTCCGCGCCATGCTCTCACTCTCATATTGGCTGAAGCGTCCCGGCATAGGCGAGGTATTAGTGCGGTGGAAGACAGGCTTTGAAGATAGCCTGTCATTGTGATCCGGAGTGGGCATTCGGAACAGGCCACTTCTGTCATCCGATTCCGGAGAACCTCCAGTGTTGTTAACACGCGAACGAATGGAGGGCCTCTCAACTTGCGGAGGTGGGGGCGGCGGGGACTCCTCTCGGATTCCGCTGCCGTTACCGAAGGAATGAGCTGTATTGGTGCGAGAACGGATGCGCTTCTTATCTTTTGCTCCAAGTCTACACAAAACATTGTCAGCTCAAAAAACCAGTAGGCCCGGATATTTGGTATCCTACCCAGTCGGCCAATTCTGCCTAATACCCATGAGGATGTCCCGGCAGCGATCATGATACTCCAACTCGGCATCAAGGAACGCGGTCAAATCCGCCATAGTTTCGGTCTCGGATTCCTGAATGTCTCCCATTCTACGATACACATCTTCACTAGATTCCTCGTATTTGATGCGCTGTGCCCGCAGCTCTTCTTCCACGCGGAAATCCTCCTTCTTCTGTTTTTGCATCTTCGAAAGTGTTGCGTCATAGGCGAGTCTTCGAGATTCAAGCTTCTTACGGGCGGCCTGTAATTGCAGGATTAACGAATTGGCCTTCGAATATTTCCCAAGGTGCAACCCTAATCACCTGATATTCTTTCATCTGAGTTAGGAATCTCTCAAGAGACTCGAGCCAGCTCTCACTAGCCGCGGCGACATAAGAATCCTGAACCCTAGCAATCTTCTCGTTGGCCTGACCCATCTCTAATCTAGTAGTTAGCATCCGTGGGAAAGGCGATGGCGCCGCTAGGAGCATCACGGAAGAGAGCAAACGCACTAATGAGACAGTTTCCGAAAACACTATCCGATTCAAATTCCTCGCCATGGGAGATCATCGCTTGAGCCATTACATCCACAGGAAGCATCTTCTCCTTATCCTCCCCCATAGACTTCTGGGAGACCGATTTGACGTAGACATTCATGGTGTTGTGAAGCTTCTCCGCACCTAAAAACCATCATACGTCAGTGGTTGGCCAGGAGCATCAAAACTCCAGAGAGCCCTACCCTCATGCCTCAATTTCATCTCCATCTCCAAGTTCTGAAACTCATCCGATGCCCCGGTCTTGACTTCTCCTCCCATACGCTCTCCTGCCCATTGCTTGAGCCTGTCGAGCTTCTGCAGAGACCAAAGAATCAGCAACCCGAATTCTTTGGGGCCTGGGCGGATGGGGAGAATGGAGGATACCTTGTTCATCATCTTGAGAGACGGCTACTGAGCTTGGGTCGGTATCGCGTTGCCGATTTGCTTCTAAGCAAACTAAGGTGAGGTGCGGTGATTTGACAGGTGAATAAACAACTCGGGGGGAATTTTGGGGGGATGAGGACGGCAGGCAGCGGGTGGTAGGATCGAGGACAGGTGAATGTGGTACCAAGGACGACTACGACCAAGTAGGCGAGGGGAATGATGAATCGGAAGAAAAAGAAAGAATTAGGAAAAGATAAAGAGCAGCCTGTGCAGTTTACGCCAAATGTCTTTGTTTTTCTTAACGAGAGGAGAGAAGAGAGAAGGGCACGAAGGAAGGGCACAAGAGGAAGGTGGTTGGTGGGGGAGGGAGGGGTGGTGGTGTACGGATTGTTGAGGTGGGTGGGCGGAGGGGGGAAGGAGTGAACAGGATGGAGGGAGGGAAGGCGATTTTGAGACGGGGATGGCCGCGTTGCTGTGCGAGGGAGAGGGACTTTTCTATTTTTCCTGCGTGGGTTTGAGGGTATGAGGACGGAAGGGAAAGAGGACCTTCCCGGTTGTGGATTTTATGCTATCGTATCATGGATTATGTATCGATACATGATTTGGTAGGAGGAGGACAAAGGAGATACGCGCGCAACGCAACGGCACCCAGCACTACCGCCCTGCAGCTATCAGAATTCACGGACCGGTCGAGAGCTACAATCGCCACTTCTTCCCCCTTGCTCGCGCTCCTGGCAGTTCTCACTCACAACCGTGCAAAGTATCGAGCAGACAGCTCGTTGGTGGTGGTCCGAATGTCCTCTCACCAATCTCAAACACGATCCATCCATTGATACATAAATAGGAAGAGAAAAAGAAAGGAAAAAAGTCTTCTGGCGAAATGTGATTCTGCGGACGCCAAAGCCCGACTGCCTGACTGAGGCCTTCTCCTCCTCATCCCCTGCAGCACTCATGCCGATCCAGCCCGGTGGCCATCCATTCGATCCTCTCTCTCCACCATTAATCGCTTCTCTTATCGCCTGTGCGGGCAAGATTCCCCGATTCCTTTTTTCCCAATTCTCCATTTCTCTCCCCCCGGAGCCCTCCCATCTCGCACCCCTGCTTTTGGCTCGCCCCTCATCCACGGTTAACCAGCCCAGCGGGATCCGTTTCCTTGTTCTCAGCCTTCCATCGAGTTAGTCTGGCCACGAAAACACACGGTTAACCGCCTTTAATTAGACGCGCCCTTTTTCAGTCAAAGTTGTTACAGGCCCCAGGGCGAGACACCCCTCCCATCAACTTAGTTGGCAGCTGATCTCCAAACATGCCGGACAAAATCTTGGCTAAGAATACTGTAAGACTGATCTTCAAACCGATTCATCCTTCTCAACAAATTAGCACCGACCAACCAACGCGCAATCCTTACCGGAATGCCCTGACATATCATACCCAAAGCGTCGAACCCAAGTTCCCTTCACCCTACCGGTTGGCTAAACTACCGGTATCATAATAAAAATATAACTGTACGGAACCATACCCGCGGGCAAGCAAAGAGGTTTCAGGGCATTATTAATTTGTAAAACGAAAGGGAACTCAAAATACCTCAAAGCCCGCCCTTTCTCCAGCGCTTGTTGCGAACGAACAGCGCTTGGACACGAGTAGACACTTATGTGCGGTATCGTAATCCAAAAGCTCCTTCCGTGGGCCGCAGAGATGGCACGCGGGGTCTCGGGTTGCTGCTCCCTTGCCATTCCCCACCATAACCGCCACAACCAATAACCCTAACCCCGACAAACAGCCCACATCGCGAAATGATAAGGGAAAAAAAAAGGAAAGAAAAGGGCAAAAAACAAGAGCCACGTCGCACACAATTCCCGAGTCAGCGGTGCACCATCCCCGGTGACCCTAGGCGAGGGCAAGAATGAGGAAACGATCCATACGCATCGGCCGACCCTATGCCAGCCTCGATTTGCAGTACAGTACTCGAGTATTGGCGGTGGAGGCTGTTGTTGCACTTTTCCCTGCACGCTGTCCCGATTCGGCACTGCTAAGCTACATTAAGCTTTCCGCCCAGGTTGTCATGCACGCAAACAGACAAGCAAGTTGAAAAATTCAAGGGGTAGGGCAATGCTTGTCTTGCCCAGTTTTTCTTCGGTCATGAGGGGAAGCTGACGTATCGCAAGCTTGGCCACGTCACAAGGTCGCCAGAAGGATTGTGGAGCCTGTTTCGCGACCCAGATGCAGCCGCTGCAGCTGTCAAGCATGCTGTAACATGCAGCTGGGCCTAGGGGGAATATTTCACGTATCGAGTGACATGTCATGATCGCTGGTCGGACCGGTGCATAAATGGCATGGAGAATTCCAAACATTTGTCCGTGATCGTGACGCTGGGGCCTAGAGCAGAGTGTGGACGTGCCGCTTCATCTTGGAACACGCGAAGCTCGACTATAGAAGCCGGCTGAGGGATTCCGGGTTGAAAGTGCGCTGGAACGATATTGTGCAGCACCTTCTGGACAAAGCCGAACGACCGAAAGTCAAAACAAAACACCTGGAGGTGTCTTTGTTTCACCGGTGGGCATCCAAGGCACATTTTATCATGACCCGGGTCGGTATATCTCACCAAGAGCACTACCAGAGCTCCGTACCGACAAAGTTGAGAAGGGTGGCGAACCAAACAACAACAATGAAGGGAACAAACCTCAGTTGTGGTATATCTCTCTCCACCCAGCCTGAAAAGTGCGAGTATTGCCCCCTTTATACACTCTCGGGGCGGAAGGGTGGGCGGGCAAATACGGTCTCATAGGGATGCCCGGCTGTGGTCCCCCACTCCCCGGAGCGTCAATTGCGGAAGATTTGCGGGGTAATGATATGTGGGAACTTTATAAAGATTCCAGCCAGCTCTGGTATGATCCCTCCCGGGGAAGGATCGCGTGGTTTGAGCCGGATTCACAGAAAAGGGATAAAAAATTGGCGGAAGGAGAAGGGGAAGTCATCATAAGCATGGCAAGATAAATTGACCTCTCAGAAAGGAAAACCGGAGCTGCGAGGGGGCGAAGCAGGCCCCCCACCAGCCCTCCAACCATTAACCAAATAATGCATTAACGGGTGAAACCCCCCCTGAAAACTTTAATCAAGCTATGATATCACACATGTGAACCATCTATCATATCATTATTATCCATCGAAACCCATAAACTCGGAGCGTGGCCGCCAGCGCGTGGAGTTATCATAGGTAAGAAAGCGTGATATCTGAGAAGGAAAAAGATCATCACATCGCACCGTACTCGAGTGTGATAACATAAAGCGAATTAGGGTTGCACATCAGTCATTATCCCACGATAATAATATAAATTCTGCTTTTACTTGATAACATTGTAGTGATAATGCAAGACCTTTCGCCTGGCATTTATCCAATAAAGTTGGCATCAGCATTCCTCCCTTCACCCTTGGCATAGGCCCTCCTTCAACCTTTTCGTTTTCTTCTTCTTTCCCTTCTTTTGCAACCTTCGTTTCTCCTCGCCTGGCAGATTATCTTTAACCATGATAGATTGGTCCCTCTTTTTAGCCTTAGTTATTAATTGGTCATTTGGCTTTGCTTCTTACTGAGATGGGGGTGGATATGATCTTTTCTGTGCAGCTGGGGGGAACAAAGCTATATGGGCACTAGGAAGCTTGGAGGTAAAGATGAAGGCAGCGTTCCCAACCCTCCGGGAGCGCGGCGGGGCCCCGTGGGGGGACGGCCAAGAGCCCTGGACGGGACGGGCACGTGCAGTCCGTCCGGGGTGGTGAAGGTGGAGGGCGGTCGTCTTCAGGTGGGACGGCGGGCCCTACGGGTGAAACAGTGTTGGTAAGGGGAGATGGCGGGGGGCCACCATGGACTGTGGGGGAATGCCGGAAACTACCGGGGACTGTGGGGACTGCGGGGGACTGGGGGGCCGCAGAGGATTGCTGGGAACAACATATTATATAATACCACAAGCAATGCCAGAAAGGGTGGAAACTTGAACCCTGTGGCTGACAAGGTCATTTGGTTCATAGGATCTCAGACAGTAGGACGGCAGTCCCCGGTAGTCCGTCCTGTCCTACCCCAAAGACGAACAGACTGGACGGTTGGGAACACTGTATAAAGGGTTTAGTTGTGCTCTCACGTACGAACATGAACTACGGGCAGGCCATTCTCATTTTCCCCTTCCTGCCTTTCTATTGTTTCCTCTCTCGCCTCACATGCAAGTGAATTCTCAAGGACCAAACAAATAGGCCTTAGCGGATTTAGCGATAATAATAATCAGAAAAACAACTATTTACTGCCCTCGCTGGGCCCCTTACTATCCTTCTATCCACTGAAAACCCTATTACAGCTAAAGTTCGCGCGGAGCGAACACATACCGCAACTTGTGCTCTATGCAGGCACTGCTGCTTGGACATACCAAATTTCTGACGAAATAAACAGCTCCAGGGGATTAGCAAGAATAATAATAATAATAAAACTACTTACTGTCCTTACTGCATCCCTGTTCATCCTGCAGATGGTTGTTGCGGATCTCCAACCTGAGGCGGTCGAGGCCACTCCTAACGTCTCCTTGAACGCATATCATACCTCAAGATTTCCGAGCATTTTTTTCAAACCTGTTCCCTTGGCTATCCAACCTTTTGTCGAACAGGGCTGCCTGCGCATTGATCCTGCCAGTGAGTCTCGACTCCATCGCAGTGTCAATCACGTATTTAGCTCCGAACTAGCATATTTGTCATTTGATAAGCTGTACGGAAGAGGACTGTTGATACTTACCAAGCCTAAGATAGCCGCACCGATGAACTTCAGAATCGATTTCATGTCCGCCAGAGATTTGTCCATATTGTGATAGGGGATTAGACTCTACTCGAGTACTCGAGCACAGTAGGAGGGTGTGATGCAGAGCAATCAAAGCTTTTCGTTGACCCCTCCCGCATAACCGTAAAAACCCTTACGATTTGCTATCTTCGTTAGCCTGATAGGTTTAGTTTGGCAAGTCAGCTGAATTGGGTATATCAGTTGA